GCCCGGGGGGGGGGGGGGGGGGGGGGGGAGCAGGGGAGAGGAGCGAGGGCCCAGCACCCGTGGGAAGCAGCGCTCAGGAGGGCGGCGGCAGATGACAACAAGCCAGAGACTCCCTCGGCACCGCCTGACTCGGAGTTGCGGGGGGGCCCGCCTGCTCAGCATCAAGGTCATGGCCGCGACCATCGTTGCTAGCCCACGAAGGCCCCGCCCGGCCACAAGAAGCCCAGCACGGCCCGCAAACTTCACACCCCTCACCCCCCGGCCACCATCCCACGCACCTGCCCAAGCGCAACCACCGCGGAGGAAAATAACCCCCACCGGCCTCTCGCGAGACCTGCGCAGCTCCCGCCTCGTTGCCAGCTGTCTGCGGCTGCGCCGCTGGGGAGTGGGCGGGGCCACGGGGCAGTGTGGGACAGCGACTGAAGTCCGGCGGCTCCGGCGCGTGCGTATTCGCGTGGGAGTCTCGCTTCCCCGCCCTTCCGGGGTCGTCGGGAGCTGCGTGCTGGGGGCAGTCCCAGCCCCGCCCCGCCCCGAGGAGCTTTCGCTGCGCTGAGCGGGTGGGGAGGGGTTCACAGACCGTGCTCAGCTTAGGAAGGAGTCGCGTCACGGGGCAAGATGCAGCTGCCACCCCTTTCAGGGCCAGCCCCGGCCACGCGCCCCCTGAAGAGAAGGCAAGCACGGATCATGCCTGGGCACCAGCACTGGCCCCCGGCTGTGCTCTTACCAGACACAAGCCACACTTCTTCAAGGAAGCAGAAGCCCTTTTAATCCCACCAACACTAAAAGTAGGAATATGCTCCCCCCCAGCAGGCAGATGTGTCATTTCTTCCTTTACGATTGAGGAAGGAGGTGCTGCCCAAAAAAGCTGCTTTGAAAGGTCCGTCCAAGTGTCGTTGAATAGTCAATTATAGATTGGGGCTTACATTCACAGCCAGGTTACTAGAGCACTGTAAACAGTCAAGTGCACACAAATAACTGCTAAAAAAAATTAAATGTAATTTCTTTAGTACATGCATAGGTACTTTCATTTTTTTCTTATTATTTGTCATTTTTTACATAAATATTTAGAGCACAGAACTCTCCCCTTCGTGCAATACCTCTATGAGTGGGTAGAATGCATTCCTACATTATCTTATGTGCAGAGAGGGAGAGGTAACCACATTCATCATCTAAATCAGGCAAAAACCAGGGTCGAGATACCCTTCACAGACTAACTCAACTGTCCAAAAGGCAGCCTGCCACCCACAACTGTTAAGTTGCAACCCCTGCCCCACAAAGCCAGCTGTTGTTTCCCCCTCCAGCTGCAGCTGCCAGGGTCTCCAGGCTTCCCAGTCCTCCAGCTTGTCCTCGTCCCAGGGTGATGCTGTGTGGCACAGCCTGCAGTGCCAAGGAAGCCTCCAACCCAGGGTGCCTTAGTGGCATGGTGCGACGAAGGAGTCTATGGCTGCGATAGTGAGGCAAGGTGGGTGGTGCTGGGGAGCAGTAGGGGAAGAGGAGGGACAATACCAGTAAGCCCACAAGCATTTGATGCAGTGGAAGTAGGTCATAGGCATGCAGTGCAGCTGGGGGTGCTGTGCTCCCACCTACTGCAGCCCCTGGCCACTGAGACCTTGGATAACCTTATAGGAGCAAGAGCTCACTTCATCAGATGCTGTGTTATCTTCATTTGGTCTTACTGACACCATGTGAATGGATTTTACGTTTGCCTGGTATATACCGGTGTCCACATTTGCAACAGCAGCTTTGAGCATATATATATGATTTTCTGCCCCTTTACCTGTAAAGATCCAGATGGGTTTAGTTTTTAGAAGTTTGCCATCCTTAAGTGTATTTAAGACAGAAAAACCTAGTCTATCTTTACTACTGAACTCCTGTGTTGCATCTTTTAGTTTTTGCAACATCGCAAGCAAAGATACTTGCTTTGAAACAAATTCAGTTCACAGGGATATTCAAGTCCACCCTAAAGAACAGCATGCACTCACATTGGTCTGTTCTGATCTCTTTAGGAATGCTCTTCCCTTAGGCTACATCAGAACCTGAACTTAACTTTCTACAAATTCCCAAATAATAATTTTGATCATAGCCTTAAGTCCTTATAACCAACTCCCTGTGTACATCCTGGTTGCCTCTGAAATAGCCTTCTGCTGTCTCCAAGGCATCCACAAGAGCTTGAAGTTGCCATCAATATTTTAGCATTAAATTAAATTTAAATATGCCTTTGAAAATAAATTCAGTCCTTTGTAAGATAGGGAAAAATCTTTCGAAATTAGCAGACTCAGAGTAGCAGCTGGTATAGTGTACACCAACCACAAGACGAACTTGCCTAAACTTTGTCCACACAATATTTTTGATCAGGCAAGCCACTTCATTTAAAATGTTCTGTAACAATCCTGGCAAACCTTACATTTTCTTTTATTTCTTCTGTGCTCTTAGTTCCAACTCCAATTGCATTACACTGGAAAAGAAAGGTTTCCTGTCCCTTGGGTATATGCCAACTGTTGCTCAACTTCAGGCCTATCAATTAATCTGTCATCAAAATATGTGGCTTTCTACATGCATTTCTAAAGATGGCTCCCTAAGTGACTTAAAATTGCCTCTACAATCCTCCAAGTGAAAGATATTATAGACCGATACAAAATTATGAGCATATCTGATATGCAAGTGGCAGAATACTACCATAATTGAAGACTACACTCATAGCCATTTCATATAAACAGCATGGTGATTATGTCTATGCCGTGAATTAGACCCAAATGTCTGCTTTTAACCAGAAAGCTTGTACTACCTTCACCTTTTTTTAAATGAAATTCCTGATATTCTACTTTCCATTAAATTTAAGAAAAGGTGTTAGTGTATTCTTAAGCTCTTAGCACATTCCTTATGTTCTAGTTTAGAACTTCTAATATTGCCCTGTTGATTCAGGCTTTTTTTTTTTTTTAAACACAAAATATCCAGTAAGGTGATGGAATATGGTTTCATGTACTTTTCAAACCTTACAGGCACTTTTACATATTTTTTAAATCTTACACATCTCCTAAATAGGTCTGCATGTGTGCAATTTTTCCATTAAAAATGTAATAGTTATTGCATAACACCAAGTTTTGATGGACTGTAAATCAATTCAGGTGTTACCAGATAAGTTTCCAATTGCAAGTTTGCAGCAAATTATGAGAGAGATGAACTATCTTCCTGAAATCAAATACTGGTCTGTAGCAGCAGTAAGCAATCACATCATCATTTTTTTTTTTAACCTCAGAGATGACTTTGGCTTGGCTGACGCATTAAGCTTTGTCAGCATTTTTGGTGAAGCTACCCATCTTCAAACTACTTGACTGCAGATGTGTGTTCCCACAGAGTCTCTGTCCTTCCCTGTCAGCAGATCTCTAACCAAAAAATTTAAACACCACACTGCCTCAAGCACACAACAGCAAGTTCATCCTTACTGCTCAGGTTACTTACAGGCCCTCTCCCAACTTCAGCCTCCAGAATTCCACTATCTCCAGCAACAGCAGAACTGGTCAGTTTCTCCTCACTAATCAATATTTAATTTGCATGTGGCTTTTTGTAATGTCAACCAAAGTAACAAAAAAATTCTCCATCACAAAGCACTAGAAAGATCAAAAACTCAGTCCAAATAAAACACAATCTAATCCAAAATACCATCCTTCTAAGGGCTTACCAATTCCAACCCCTTGGCAAGCAGAGCAGACCAAACAAAACCAAAAGATGTTCTAGCTGCTAGATCAGGAACTAAAACCCAATCAGTCAGTGGGAAGACCAAACTAAAAAAAAACAGGAACAACTTGGATTACTACAGATCCCTGCTGCATTCTGTCCCAACAGCAGACTACTTTAGCTCAACAAAATGTGGAAAACTAAGTATGGGAAGAGTAACTGAAAAACTAAATATAAAAGTTGGAAGACAGAGAAGAGCAACAATGCACCTAAACATGACAGGAAAGTTCAAGACGGAAAACACTTCTTACATCCCTGTCCCAAATATAAGTTCTAAGAAGTTTTCCTCCTTCACTCTGGCAATGCTTATCATGTCAAGAAATTGTCCCTGAAATTAATCAGATCTTTGCCCCCATGCAACCCAGCCTCTTTTCTACCATTCAGTCCGACAAACATTGCAGTGCTAATGTTAATGCCTTCCCAGCTGCCCATTATACTTGCTTAGAATCATAGAATTGGTGGACTGGAAGGGACATGGAAGATCATGAAGTCCGGTCCCCTGACATAGGCAGGAGGTTAATGAGCTCAAACTAGCTCAACTAGGTGCTTATCCAGCCTCCTCTTGAGCACCTCCACGGATGGTGACCGTACCACCTCTGCCAGGAGTGTGTTCCAGGTTCTAGTTACCCTTACTTCCATATATCCAGTCTAAATCTTCCCTCTGTTAGTTTGCAACCATTGGTTCTCATCCTCCCAAGGGGTGCCTTCCCGAAGAGTTGCTCCTGCAGATCTTGGCGCTTCCCCCTGACATACTTGTAGGTGGCTATCAAGTCACCTTTCAGCCTCCTCTTACTCGGGCTGAACAAGCCTAGTTCCTGGAGTCTCCCCTCATACAGCCTACGCTCCAGGCCCCTGATCATGCAGGTGGCACTTCTCTGCATCTCTCAAGCTTATCCACATCCTTCTTTAAGTGTGGTGCCCAAAACTGGGCACAGTACTCCAGCTGCAGCCTCACCAACACTGAGTAGAAAGGGAGAAGCACCTCTCTGGCTGATGCACATTAGAGTTCCATCCGCCCCGCTGGTGACTTCAATCACACTGTTGGCTCATATTCATCTTCTGGTTGACTGTGACCCCCAGGTCCCATTCAGATGTTGTGTCAGCCAGTTGGCTACCACCTATCCTATAGTTATGGTGAAGGTTCTTCCTGCTTATTGAGCAGGAAACACTATACTTGTTCAAATGACATTTCCACACCATAGTTTTTCAGCATGCTTAATTCTTAGTAATTTATGAAAAAGCCATGATTTACAGGTAGTTCTCAAAACTAATATGACAAAAACCTAAAGAACCTAAAGATGTGGGGGGACGTGAGCACACTAGAAGGAAGAAGCA